CGCGTAATTAAAAGTTTTGGCTTGACTCTTAAATTAAATTTCCCAGTGGAGTCGTCAAGCTGTCGTAACGGTTTTGGAATCGTCAGTCATAAAAGAGTTTTAAAATCGAAGTAAATGGAAGGGGAGTTGCCACCAATCTTTGTTAGGGTATGATTGGCCACCCAAAAATTTATCTTTTTAATTAAACTATAAAAATGGGTTTAAAGTTTATCAAAAAGATAAATTTTGATCTACGAAAAAAAAAAGATTGGATCTGAGAGTCGATTATGTGTGGAGAAAGATTAGTACCCCCATAACACCCATAAATTGGTACCATTTAATTATGCGTTATTTTTTGTGTTAAATAAAAATGGTTTTGACTTGAAATTTAATACTAATTCCCTTCATTTGAAAAAATAAAATTTTGCTAAAGCTCTTTATTTAGAAATATAGAGAAAATCTTGAAGTTAAAGAATTATTTTAAAATTCTCTAACATTTAGGCAGAATTTAAAATAACTCTTTTCGCTTAATATTTAACACTATAATTCTTAAAATGAAATAACAATCTTTATAGAAGATAATTATTAGTGACTCTCCAACTTCTAGACAGAATACCAAGAATTATTTTTTTCAGAATGTTATTTTTATTTTATTTTATAATATCACAAAATTTTTTTTTAAATGTATTATTTTTTTTATTATAAAATATTTTATTATCAAACAGTAAATTAAAGATAGAATAATACCAGTAATTATTGATGATAACATGCTAACGTATGTATGCTAATAGATGTCATATAAAATGAAATGCAATTTAAAAGTTGGGTTCTTAAATATAATGAGACCACCCCGACTCTCCAACATCTAGGCAGAGTTTAGGTGTGACTGTTTATATTTAAGATCTCAATTTATTATTATACTTTTTATTTATTAATCTTATTAATCTTATTATTAATGTGAATTAAGAACTCGTGTGAAAAACTTAATGAAATGGAGTTTCCTAAATACCCCATTATTTAGGCAGCATTCAATAACAAACCATTTCATGTGAGATTTTCACACGTATCTTTAAGGTTTTGAAATAGATTTAGGGTTTTGATTTTAGAGTTTGAAGATTTTAGGGTTTCGATTTTAAAATTTGAGGTTTGGAGTTTTGATTTAAGGGTTTGAATTTTAGGGGGTTTGGATTTAAGAGTTTAAAGGTTTGGGGGTTTTGGATTTTATGGGGGTTTCAAATTTTAGGGGTTTGGATTTAATGAATTTTGGATTTTTAGGGGTTTCGAATTTTAGGATTTTGAAAATTAAGAATTAGTGTTTAAGGTTTCATTTTTTAGAAAATACGAACATCTCTAAAAATCTCCAACATCTAGGCGGATTTTCGAAGTAAGTTTAATTTTTATGATTTTTTAAAACTAATTAAAAATTTCTTATATATTTCTTTTTATGAAAATTTATTAATAATAATTCTCCAACATCTAGGCGAAATTATTTCTTTAGGAAAATATTTTTTATTCCCTCAACATCTAGGCAGGAAAAAAATAATAATAATCATCATCATTATTATTATTATTATTATTATTATTATTATTATTATTATTATTATTGTTATTATTATCTTTAGCATTTTTAATATATATTTTTAATTATTATCTTACTTACTTTCATTTTTATTATTATTAAAATAATTAAAAAAATTTATCCCAAAAAATTTAAAACTTATCATACATATATATATAAATACTTAAAATAACAAAAATAATAATATATAAAAAAATAGAAAATTCAAAAAAAATAATTTTTTTACCTGAATCGGACTGGTCAACGGCGGTTTGGTTGGACCGAAAAAGGTTCGGTTGAGCTGATTGAGGAACGGTTCGGACTGGTCGACCAGTTTATTGGCAATTCATTTGAACCGGCTGGAATTGGCTGAGGCGGGTCGACAGGTCAATTTGCGCGGATCTCGAGTTGAGTTTGATCCACGAGAGGATCCTCTTATGCTTGAAACGGCGTCGTTTTGGCCTTATGCTCAAAACGACATCATTTTGCTTCTATGTTTTCTATAAAAAGTCAATTTTTTTCAGCTATTTTGTCATTTTCACAAAAAAAAATTTTCAGAGCTTTCGGTTCTCTCTGTCCTTCGTCGAAATTCGACGTTGTGCGCTGCACCGACCGCCGTGTGGGTCGTTGCCGACGGTGGTTGCTGGTGATTGAAAATTCTAAAATCCTCCTGGAAGCTCCTTTCGATGTAATCTTTCCAGATCCGATCTCTTTTTCGCTGGAAACAGCCCCAATCGATGTAGATAGGGGTTCAAAGTTTTCTATTCTTTTTTTTTTTTAAACTCAAATTAATAACCTTTCTTTTTTGTTGCAGGTATCTCTTTGGCGCTGGGTTCCTCGCCGATTCGACGAGGACTGTGATTTCTGTTTTATGATTTTTTTGTGTTGATTTTCGTAAATCTGTTTATTTTTTTGTTTGGGTATTTGGGGGGTTGTTTAGTTTTTTTTTTTTGTCGAAAAAGTTGTTGGTAAGGGTGCATGTTTTTTGGTGTTTTGGTGAAGTGATATCCGAGCGTTTCAACCAGCTTTGAAATGAGGGAGAATCGAGTGTTTTATATGGTTGAAAATGGTGATAACGTGTGTTGATAGAGTGAAGAGACTGGACGAGGAGGTGGTATGATGGCTAGGGTAGTGGCAGGGTGTGGGTGGCTTGGCAAGGTGTGAGTGGCCAGCGGTACCGTACAAACATTTGCTGGCACCAGCCATTTCCATTTTGTTTCTTCTGTTTGGATTTTTCATTTGTCTTTCTTTTTTTTTTATTTAAAATTTTAATTTTTTAATTAATTAATTTTTTTAAATTATAAAAAATATAGATCCGGATAAAATTCAGTGTTTATAATATTTAATAGTAATATTATCAAAATTCTTCTAAACAACCAAAAAGAGAAAAAAGAAATACTAATTAAGGTACCATAGCATCACACTTAAATGGCTAACATTAATACGTGGTTTTTTGGGATTCGATAACCGGCTGCTTTGCCTCCAGCTACAGTAAGATATGAGCAAGATTGGTCTTTATTTAATTACTCTTGGCTTTTTAGTTTGGTCAATCAATAATTGGACCACTGACACAACTACGGTCTTGTTGGGCAAACCCACTCTTAAATGCTTTGAAATTAATAGTGTGAATTATTAAAGATTCGTTTGGTATTATTCTATGTTTTATTTTTATATTTAATATTTTTAAAAATTTTATTTTTTTATTTATTAAATTTAAAAATATCTTTGGATAGAACATTTTTATTTAAAAAATATGAAAATAAAAATATGTCAAAAAAAGTGATTAAAGTTTTTAAACTCAATTTATTAATAATAATATAATAATATTTATTAATATATTATTTATTAATATAATATTTATATAAAATTATTATTTTATTAATATAATAATTATGACATTACTTTAACGATTTAATTGTAATTTATGTGAACAGTATTCATGCAGTAATATTATTAAATTATTTTAAAAAATCTTAAAAACTATTTTTTATTTTCAACAATTTTTAAAACTTTTTAAAATTTTATTTTTAATTTTCAAAAACAGAAAACAAAAACAACTTACCAAACATATTTTTTATTTTTTATTTTCAAAAAAATTGAAAAAGAAAATAGAAAACAAAAAAAAAACAAATGACCCTTAATTTATCATTTTTTTAATTGGATATTTAGATTCACCAGTAAAATTTCCTACATTTTAAAGCTAAATATAAAAAAAAAAAATTAAGTAAACACCAAGTCCTGTCAAGTAACCATGGACAACTTTATATTCGGTATGCTTCAAAATGTTATAATAATACCAACAGTGAAATATACAAGAAAATCGCATTAAAAAGAGTTAATATGACGCAACCAAATTAATAGATAGCGACTGTGATTTGATTTAGGAGTTCAATTTAAAACTTTAATCGCATTGAAAAATATACTTTATGATTGGACAGGAAAATAAATAAAAAAATTATGTAAATATTTGATTAACAAATGCGTTTCTTTTTTATATATATAGTTCTTCATTTGACTCTTTCTCAATTCAAGAAACATAACAAAATTCCATGTTGTTTAACACGTGTTTGGCTTGATGATTCATTGTGTATAGAACACGGAAAAAAGATAGAAAAAAAAAACATGGAAAAAAAAATGAAGGAAATGAAAAAAAGACGTGAACTTTTGAATGGTCTCTGTTAACAGGACACTGGCACGCTGACCCACCACCATCGAACGCTTATCTAGTAAAGAACATCTTAACCGTTCACATGCTTGACAAACTCGCTAGAAACCATTAGATCAGATACCAACTTACGTGTTTCCTTCCAACATAAAAAGTGATTCAATAAATTACAATTCCTTATAAAAAAAAATATTAGATTTAAATTCTATCGATAATTATAATTATTTATTTTAAATTATTAAATATAATATATTTTATTTTAATTTTAAATTTTAAAAATTTATTTATTTTATATTTCATAAAACAAACAAAAAAAAAATCATCTTAATTAAAAATTTGGGTATATTATAAAATATTGATAGTAAACGTAGATGTTAATACTTTTTAACTACTTAATAAATTGTTAAGTATTTGCTTTGCAATTGAACTATAATATTTTTTAAGGATGTCATTAAACCTTCATTATCTGCATCGACTCATATAGTCAATGATTTTGTTATTTTTTATATTTTTAATTGTACAAAAGTTTTTGAATAAAAAAGTGATTTATGTATATAAAAGAGAATTTTACTAATTTAAAAAAGAATGAATTATCATAATAGTATCGAAATCATATAATATAATATGTCATCTTTATAGCTACAATTATAATGCTATCCAGTCTACATATTGGTACAAAATTTTTAAACCTTTATTTAATGATGAACTTAAAAATCATAAATTCTTCTGGACCCAACCCATTACCTCCTCGATCACCACAAGTTTCTTATTAGTACGGATTTTTGAACAAAATCACGTGTTAGTGGGAAAAGAACAACACGTGTCAACATTACATTTGCTAATTGAAAAAACCGCACTCTCTCCGGTCGCAGAGAAAGCATCAAAGTTTCCACACAAAATTCCTTGAAAGACTCGGGTATATTCTTAGGCAACATGCTGGTTGACGTTCTTATTCAAGCGTGAAAAATGGCTCTTGTGACATTTCTTTCTTTCCTCCTCCTTCTACTCTTTCTTCAAAAACCAACGACTGCTCACACTTGTTCAACATCATGCGCGGGCCGTGAACCAGAAGTTAAATTTCCTTTCGGGCTGAACGCTAATGGCAGCCGCAATGGTCATTGCAGCTATCCGGGCTTTGGTCTTTCCTGCAGCAACAAAACAGGAGGACTAGTCCTTAATCTTCTGGAATCCGTAGAATTCACCGTCAAATACATCGATTACGAGGCCCAACAGATACTGATCGACGATCCTGATAACTGTCTCTCTAAACGGTTCTCGCGGTCTTTCGATGAATCGGGAACTCCCCTTCACTCAGAATCCAGTTATACCTTCACGTTCTTAAATTGCTCTGATAGCGAAGTAGCAGCTAGGTTGTGGACAATCCCATGCCTTAGCAATCAGAATTATTCGGTTGTGGCTTTACAGACAAACTCTTCAGTGGATTCTTTCAATAGTTTACCGTATTCATGTCACCTTATAAATACCGTCACAATTCCATTTGATTTGTATAGATGGACGGAGGGAGGCTGGTTAGAATGGTACAAACCGGATTGTAGGTCATGCGTTGAACGTCAAGGGGATTGTGGGTTCAAGAATAGAACTAGTCAGGAAATTGGGTGCTTTATTAATCTGCCAAGCCAAGGTATGCTAATACTAACCACAGCTATGATTAGCGTTTAAATCACTTAATTTGGGTTTCTATTAAGATTAACTTCATGAATTCTTAGTGATCTACAGTTAATTGTTATCGTGACTAGAAATCTAATAGTTCTTGAAATTAGAGTATCGCTTAAAACGTTTCAGAATCCTTAATTTGGATCCAAAGTCAAGAAATCAAGATGATTTTTTTGGTTTCTATTTTGTGTTGTATCGGAAGCTTTTGAGTGAAACTTACAATGGAAACGATGAACAGTGTATGATTGATCAAAGTCAAAGCGTTAATGGACTCAATTTCTATCATCTGGGAGACTGGAAGGGTCTTGGGTTCCCATTGTTGCCTCGACATCCATTGGATGGAGCATTTTTTTCAACTTATTGAGAAAGCGATGCGGGTCATTTATTTAGAGCCCCCATATATATTACAATTTTTGTGGCTGTAGTCATTTTGAAATGCATAAATGTCGCCAGTCATCACGTTATGAAAACTCCTCAGACTCAACTGAATTGATTTATTTTAATCTGTTGTCAAAATTCACGATCTCTTGGTCAATATTGTGACAACAGAGTGCTTGGAATTTGGTTTTCCTTTTCCCACTGAAATTAATTTCACATTGCAGGTGGTCTTCCAAGGGGTGCCAAGTATGGAATTACAATTGGCGTTGGAATTCCGGGTTTCCTGTGCCTAATTGGGCTCGTTTCGTTCGTTGGTAGCCGAGTGACAGCTTTGGTACGTCGACGCAACCTCCCCAGCTTCGAATTCTCCACATCAATCTCCCCTTCACTGGCTATTTTTGTGGCAGGACTCGACGGACCAACTATTGAATCCTACCCCAAGACTAAGCTCGGTGACAGCGGGCGTCCTCCTAAGCCTAACGATAGCACTTGCCCCATATGCTTATCAGAGTACCAGCCTAAGGAGACATTAAGAACTATACCGGAGTGTAACCATTACTTCCATGCCAATTGCATAGATGAGTGGCTAAAGATGAATGGTTCATGCCCTTTGTGTCGTAATTCACCCGGTGAATCTGCTGGAATGACCCCATCTATATCTTCCTCTTCATCATCAGCTTCTCTCTTACCATCATAGACAAATTCTATTACATGCCATTTATCAGCTCCTGTGTATAATGTATGTAGTTTTGGGAATTTCCTGCTGTGTGCTTGATGGATTTTTGTATTTTGTCAAACAAACAAATTTCTCGTTTCAGAACATTAATTGCAACAGTGTTTGTCAATTGTCTTTGATTTAACACAAATTTGAAATTTCATTATATTATAATCTTGCAATTAACCCATCATAGAAAAAATTATCTAAGGGTCCAGAGTATGGATCCTATAAAAACTTTTAATAAAGCATCAAAATATTGAATTTTAATTAATTAATTGCATTACAGTAATTTTAGGTGATATTTTATTATACCAACAGTATGAGATCAAGATTGCTGAATTAATTATCTACATAATTTCCAAGGTCAGTCTCTAATCTTTCTCTTTTTCATTGGATTATCTGGGTAAAAAAAATTAAAAAAAAATTACAGCTTTCCACTTCGTACGCGTTGCTTACCAAACAAAGCTAGCACATCACACCAGTACATAAAACAGAGAAATTTGTTGTTTGCTTTTGGATAAAGCGATTCTAATGGTGAGAGTTACAATAACAACAATATATGCCAACCTCTTCTAGAGCAAAGGTAAAAAATGACTTCTTTCAAACTCTACTTGTTCTTCTCCTTCCTCTTCTTCTTTCTTCAGCCATCAAAAGGCTATGAAATATGCCGAACCAGATGCGGACCGGTGCCGATTCGCTTCCCTTTTCAGATTATCAGTAGCCTACCTGAGAACCGCTGTGGCTATCCGGGCTTCACTGTCTTATGCGAAAACGAAACCCAAAACATCCTAACATTTCCATCCGGTGAATTCAGAATCGAATCCATCGACTATTTATGGCAACTTATTAGCATAAGTGATCCAAGTAACTGCACCGCCAAACGTCTTCTTCAGGGATTTGATTACTTGAACACTCCTTTTCAGCCACTTTACGCTCGAAACTTCACGTTTCTCAACTGCACATCCGATCCACTGATTTTCCTAAGTACCGGAGTATCACCAATTCCTTGTCTTAGTAGCGAAAGTTATTCCGTTGTGGCTTTACCGAATGATCGTTACAATGTCTCCAATATATTGAGTTGTTCGGAGATAGCAACGTTTTTATACCCGAGTTTGCGGGCTGATGATTCTTCTGACTCTTGGTGATTTTATCACCTTAACATGGAAAAAACCAGATTGCCAATCGTGTGAAAGCGTTGCAGGGATTTGCCAGTTCAAGGCTACTATGAGTTTGGATATGGGATGCTTCGATCCTTTTGATCATCGTAAGCTTTAATTCCATTTTTTTTATTGTTCACTGATAAATTTCAGGAATGAATTTTGAATAAAACAGGTCAATAGATGGCCATTATGAAAAAATAAAAAGAAATAAAAAGCATGTAAAGATCACTTCCCATGTTAATTATCAAGTTTGAGATCATTCATCACTTCATTTAATCTGCTTTTTCAGGATTTCTATCAATACTATATACGCCGCCATTTTTTGTTGTGGCTTGTGTCTTGTGCATCTTTGGGCTTATAACTTTGCGTCCAACGCAAGATAGAGCGTCGTGCAAAGCCAACCCAACGCCGCTGACATCTCCAACTCCACTTACACTCTACAAGGGGGAAATGTTTTCGCAAAGGGACTCGACAAGCCTACGATCGAAATGTATCCACGACGTTGCTCGTGAAAGCATGCAATTACCAAACCAGTGCCGACGTTTGTCCAATGTCTATTAGAGTACCAAGGCGAACGAGATTTTACGAACCATACCTAGTTGCATGCATTACTTTCACGCCGATTGCATCGATGAGTGGCTTAAACGAAATGCAACTTGTCCTTTGTGTCGCAATTAAAATATACTACAAAAATATTCTTTTTTTAGTCAGTAACAGAGACTGTTTTTGAAAGCCGCAAGCATCGGATTTTAGTATGCTTTCTAGAGGATATCAATGAGAAAAACGTCAGAGGTCAAGCGAAGCTGCATTGTCTTGGATTTTTCATCTCAATGTATATTTTATTTGCAATTATTGTATACCCAGGATTACCAATTAGAATTTACCGTGCATTAAGCGCTTTTCTTTCTGTTTTTGCTTTTTCTTTTTTTTTGGTTCCATTTAAATGCATGGGTGGGTGACATTGAATACCAACCGTGACAGCATACCCAACAGAGAAATTCAAGATGTAATTGACCTCTCAAAAGGAAGAATACAACAAAAATCATGCAAATGCAAGGCATACATATGAATCCTAGATGCCAGAATCATGATTAGTTTATGCATTTATTCCCTGTATATATCTTGTTATCTCATATTAATTAATATTTAATATGGAATAAAAACAAGGTGGCTAGTCGTTCAAAATAATGCTATGAACAAGATAGTGTGGATGATTTGTTCGTTTATGAGAAGAAACTGACAAACACGAATTCTCTTTTTTTTTTTTTTAATTACATGATAAATTTCAAATTAATGTACAAAATCTAACCATTGAAATAATCTAAAAATTTAACCTCTTAGAGTCCTAATTGTTCTTTTAACCATTTACGCTCTAAAATAAGAATATTGTAGTAAATCAGTTGATGATTATTTGTTAATTTAATTTCTTGGAAACAAATACGGCACACGAAATTAAGTTTAGTCAGTACCTTTAATGTTAAAAAAAAAAACATAAATTTGGACTTTGAAATTAGACCGACGACAAATATCAATTAACCATTTGTTTCTTTGTTTTAATTTGTGTTTTCCAAATTACAAAACAGTGAGCACGGAATCAAATTTACCATATTAGCTGCTGAATCGATCATCTCTACACATTCTAAAGGTCAGCCTCCAATTTGTCTCATTAAGTTCTCATTGGAATTAATTGTTTAATGTAAGTTTCCTACAACTTTTCTGTTTGTATATACCCAATGCTAGAGCTTATTAATTAAATACAGAATTTTGTCGTATGTATAGAAATAGAACAGTTAATTAGTCTTAATTCGTTTAATATTATTGTTGAAAATAATTTTTACATTTTAAAGTTACTTTTGATCTAAATGTAATGTTAAATAATAATAAAAAAAAATTGACTTTACAATTTAAAAACTAATTTTTCAACTCAAATAAACAACTGTTCAAGAAGTGTTTTGGAAATAAAAAAATAGTATGAAATAAAAAATTACTTTATTATCCCTATATTTATAATATTTTATTATTTTATACATATACTTTTAAATATTTCAATTACTCAGGATATTTTTTAACAACAATACTAAACATTCAAAATTTTTAAACATATTTTTTTTAACTTAAAATTTTTTCAACCGTAACAACAATATTAAATTAGCCGTATAAAATTCGAGGTTGGAACCGTGATATTGATTATCTCCTCGTTGTACCAAGAAGTAACGGGGAAATATCTTCTTTTTTGTTTTTAATTATACGTACATACACAACCAGTCCCACAATCGTATTATTTTATCAATCAATTCATCAAATTAGAAGGGTACAAAAAAAATTGAACAATGAAAGGAATCTTGTTAATGTTTCTAATTTCTTATCTTAGTATTTAATGTGGATTGAAAGCAATAAGAACTTCTATAATTAGAAATATAATTGATTCATAACGTGAAGAAAATTGTCCTTGATGGCTTGGATAAGAACATGAATTCGTTTTTTTTTTCTTTTTCTAATTAAAATAAAAAACAATACTATATACAGAAAAAATTAAAATATACATAATATAATTTTTTTTAATAATATTTTAAAAAATAAAAAATAAGATTTTTTTATTAAATTAAAAAGGATAATATATAATCCGGCTCTTGAACTATATCATTATTTACGATTTAGAACTTATAAAAAAATTTACAATTTGATACATCAACTTTTATTATATCAAATCATTTGTTAAAAACATCAACTTCATTAATAATGTGTTGATATAATAAGAAATCAACAAATAAAATTATGACACGTGACATATTTTTATTGATTAATATCTACTATTTTAGAATATAAGATTAAATGAAATAATTACATTATGTTAACATATATTCTTTCTATTCAAATCATTCATCGTAATTACATTATTGAAAAATAATTATTTATTATAAAATAATTAATAAATATATTTAAATAAATATTCACCATAATTATCACAAAATGATGTGTAATAAATAATTGATTTTTTTCTTATAGCATAACTATATCATATGATTTGAATGAAAAGAACATATGCTGATGTGATTTATCATTTAATTACCGTATGTGATGGATAATAAAGAGTAAACTTTTTTTAATAACATGATTATATGGTATGATTTGAATGTAATGAACATATACTAATGTGACATTATTGTTTGATACAATTCTTTCTCATTATTTTATCTAACACTATAAGTCAATTGTGCAAATTGTTTGATGAAAACAAAATTAAGTTACCAAATCATGAAAAATAATATACTTTGAGGCCAATTTCAAATTAACCCAATTAAAAAAGTTGATATGACAATTGGGAAAGAATCAATTTGTTTGCATATATTTATGTTTTTATGTGCATATAATAAATAATACATTCAAAAGCTCAACAACAACCATAGCAAAACTATGGGAAGCCTCCTAAATGACTTGTTTGATTGGATTATCTGTCTAAACTATTTATCCAACTTAAAATTATTCTTTGTTTCGTAGGCCTCGATTACGAGGGAAGAATTAACAAATTTCTTTGTTAAACGAGAAGCAAATACCTTCAAGGAAAATGGCTCACTCAAAACTCTTCTTCTTCCCCTTCTTCCTTTTGTTGCTTCTTCAACCATCTACAAACGGTGAAACATGCCAGCAGGTTTCCTGCCGTGATGTAATAGTTGACTTCCCTTTCCGGCTAAGAGACCAACCGGACTGCTGCGGCAATCCCAATTTCAATCTCTCATGCACAAAGAAATCCCGAACCACGATCACTTTTCCTTTTAGTGGTGATTTTATTGTCGACGCCATCGGTTACTTAGAGACAAATTTACTGATCAGCGACCCAGAGAATTGCATTGCAAAACATCTCCTTCAGGGTTTAGATCTCTATGGCACTCCTTTTGAGCCACAATACCCTGAAAGCTACATCTTTTTCAACTGTTCCTCCTTTGTATCAATAGACTATCCTGCAATATATATTTCATGCCTTAGCGATACAAACTTTATGGTTTTTGCAATCCCCACAATTGCTTACAATCAGTCGACCTCGTTGGGGTCATGTCTAGAAATAGCAACGATTTTCGTCCCCCTTCCGGTTCAAAATTGGCCATACTATCTTAGTGAGCTTCTGTTAACATGGGAAGAACCAGATTGCCAGTCGTCATGTAACTGTGAAAACCATTCGAGATATTGCGAATTCACCGGTGGATGCAATGATTTCAAAAAGAAAAGTGGTATGTTTGCAAATAAAACCATGTTCTTGGATGATTTCTCATATATTTTTTTCTCACAGCAAGATTGATTGTGTGCTTTAGTTACCAATAAAAGACCAATATGAAAAATCAAATTAAGAATGAATTGAACTCTCGAATTCAGGAAACGAATTTAAGGTTATGAAAACTGTAAGATTTTAGATACGCTAGTTTAATTTCATTAACTATAGTTTTTCTACATATCTTTTAAATATTTAGTAAGTTCGCCCATTAATTAAACTTGATTTGCAAATGTTTTAGGTCTTTCAAACGGTGCCAAATATGCCTTAATTTTTGCCCTGGGAACACCCCTCTTCTTCATTGTGGTGTTTATTATTCATCACAAGCTCATTGTCCATGGTAATGATCAGCGCCACCAATCCACTGTCGAAATATCCAGCTTGGCTGCAGAGCCGCAATTAGCCGCTCGTACTGTAAATGGCCTCGATGGATCAAGGATTGAAGCCTATCCAATTACTTTGCTTGATGAAAGCTGCCGGCTTCCAAGGCCTAATGATAATACTTGTTCAATATGTCTATCAGAATATCAAGCCAAAGAGACAATAAGAACAATACCTGATTGCGATCACTACTTTCATGCTGACTGCATAGATGAGTGGCTTAGACTAAATGCAGCATGCCCTGTCTGTCGCAAATCGCCAGATCAAGAGTCTGCTTTAATAATCCATTCTACAGTACCCTCTTCATCACCACCACCACCACCACTATAGATGATTAATTCTACAAAAATGTTTGTAATTATTTTGGGGTACAGTATATGTTTGTATTATACGTAGTGTTAATCTCCAAAATATTCCAAATTAATTTGTTAAGTCCCTCATTTACCGGTCAGCCCTGTACGTACAAACTTTTATCCTTGCAGTGTTATACTTCGATCATACATGGCGGCTGGAACCTTAATTTTCTAGAAAATGATCCGGCCTTGCTGCCACCAACCACAATCTCCCTCACCTATTCCAACAGTTGAGCTCCGAGAAATTCTCAAAATACTATAAAAATTACCTACTCTTTTGACTCATTTCCATTGAACCATTATAAATGGACACCAGGAAAGTTTCGAAGAAAAACAAATCATACATCTCTTTTTGCCGTACGAGTAAGCATAAAATGACACCTTTGAACTCTTCTTTATGTCCTCTCTCTCATTTTCTTTGGATCATACAATTTATTATAAAATTCTTTAATTTTTCTTTGTGTACTTACTAGTCATGAAAGCTTGAAAGGCAAAGATAATTTTTGTGGCTTTCATTTAGCGCCATATGGCTCTCTTTAAAACAACCTACCTATCCTTATCTTATCCTTTCTTTTACTCTCTCTTCAACCATCAACAAGCGTTGAAATTTTCCGTGTTTCATATGGGAACCAATGGATTCGCTTCCCTTTCTGTCTCAACAACCAACCTGATCGCTGTGGCTATCCCCGCTTCAATCTCTCCTGCAGAAATCAAATTTTGTTGAAAAAGAATGAATTTTATTGGTGGCTAATTAAACAAAAAATCCATGGCGCTAATACTTGGCATACGTTTATATTCTGATGATTTATTAGTTTGATTATGCACTCAGATACTATATGCAAAAAAATCTTTTTCAAAATGAAAAAAAATCAACGAACGTCAATTTGATTAAGAACTACATAATTAAAGTTGGTTTACCTTTTCAAGGGACTTAGCAGTTCTTCAATTCCAAAAATTATTGTAAGATGTTAAAAGGCCGGCAGGAGTCCATTGGCCATTGAGCTATGGCCTTTGCTCAAAACAAATCCATCACCCTTTCATGAAAATTGAAAGGTGAAAAAGAAAAAGAAAGCAATGGGAGTCGATGATTGGGCTAAGCTGGACCCAAAATTATCAAAGGAGGTCCATTCTATCGACGTCAAAAGGACGGGATTACCCTTGAAAGTTTCTATATGTTGAGGACAACAAAAGAAAAGTACAAGGAACTCAACTCAAAAGCGGGGAGTTAAACCCGGTTCTGTTCAAAATTCTGTTCGGAGAGCGCCTTGTTCGTTTGAGCACCTGATAGAACCTTCTATCTGTCGAACACAAGAGATAGAAACGTCGAATTTTTGCACCTTCTTTCCGGTATTATTTTAGTTGTTTACTCTGTTTTCGTGTCCAAGATTTTACTTTAGAAATCTTAGTGTACTGCTATTTTAGTTTTTTTTTTTTTCATTTTTAATATGTTTTTTCTGCATTTATCTTCCTTTGATTATGGTTTAATATGATTATTCTTCCTCTTATTTTTCATTTTATTAGAGGAACTTCTAGTCTTCGTTTCAATGGCGTTTAGGCGTAGCCTTTCCTGCAAGATAGTAAGAGTTATAATCTTGTAGCAGCAAGTAACAGCTCAACAATATCAAAGTTTCAATGATAATTTACGTTAAATTTACAAATGTTTCATTAGTCATTTTCTAACGCGTACACTTGAGCAAATCCTCCACAAACGTGTTGCTAAATGGTATTGGGTTTTGGTCTTGCAAGTTTAATGTTAGTTGACCTTCCGGTTAACGTGACAGGTTGAATGACGTTACTTAAAATGATAAAAACTTATGAAATAAATAGAATAGTGACAAGTAATGATGAAGGTGTGGCGTGCCAGTAATTCCAATTTAGACATCCAAGATTTAATTGTTAACCATTTTACTTGGACTCCTTCCGATCATGATGAATCAAATTGTTTCTCTTTTTCTTAGTACTGTCATCTCAAATTGGAATTTTGTTATGTTTTTTTTTTTCTTCTAAAGAGAAAAGATGGGGAAGATTTGTCCTTTATCTTTATTTAAAAAGAGATGCATTTAAGATAATTTTAAACATGTTATCATTAATAAAATTTAAATTTATAATTTTTTTATTAAAATAAATAAATTTTAATCAATTGAATTAATTATTTATTGATTATATTACTCTGCTTTCGTTAAAACATTTATTTATCAAGGGCAGAACTTAGATAGAATTTTTTAATTATTTTTTCTGAAGTTATCCCATAAAAATTTGACACTTATTTAACACTTCATCTTCTTTCTCTTTTTTTTTTTTTTTTCTTTACTTCTAATTAACCCATTAACACTGAACCAAAACAAACAAAAAAGCCGGTTTTTTTCTTTGCACCCAAGAGGCATCAATCATTAAAATCCAAGAAGATTAAATTGAAAAAAGTAACTACTCCAATCAATTTTTTTCTCACCATCATCATCCTTCGCCCTCTACCCACCCATTGTTGTCGTTACTTTTTTTTTTTTCTTTGCATTTGGATCTATATCAAAACCTTAATTTTTTTTCTTTTGAATAATTAAAACTCACGGGCGCTGTTGCTTAAAAAAAAATTCATTATATTTAATCCAGTCAAGAAAAATATGATTTACTTTGGATTTTTGATTAGATTTTTTCTTAAAAAAAAAAAAAAGCATGTGATTGTGTATTATTTTAGTTTTGATTGGTTTTTACTTTGGAGTTTTGATTTTTGTAATTTGATTAGCTGTTAATGTTTGTTTCTTCTTTTTGGGCATTTGATTTTATTTATATGATTTTTTTGTGTGTTGATTTTCATTTTTAATTTTGATTTTTTAAAGGCTCTTAGAATATTATTGAATATTAATTTTTGGCCTCGAAAACGTTATTCAAGATTAGTTAATATATTTTTATTTATAATAACTTTGTGTTAAATATAATCATTAATAATTTCATTAATGACTTTCAATACATTTAATATAATATTTTTTATATAAGAATTTTTTAAAAAATATTTAAAAATATTCATTAACAAAAATTCTTATAATTAAAAAATAAGTTTTGAAAATTTTTCTCGAAAATGCTATAATTGATAATTATACATTCTGTCTCAAAATATTTATTATATATTAATTTTTACGGAGTTAAAATTTTTTTTAATATATTTAACATTAAAATTAAAATTTTTTTTATAAAATTAAAGTTTCATAAATTTTAATGTCAAAAAGTTAAAAAAGATCATGAAAAATAAAATTTTTAAATACTGAAAAAAAGTCATAATTTTAAAATATTTTAAAAAATAGATAAAAGGAAACGAAAAAAAAAAGTACAAATTTTAATCTTTATCGAAATACTTGAAACTATACTTTGAATTTATCTATATTTATATCTATTTATATATGAATGCCTTAAATCCAACGTCTCACCCATAATTTTTTAATTCAATGAGCCGCGTCTGGTTAACAGTTAAAGATTTTTATGAATCAATTTGACGAACAGTTAGCAGACAGTAAGGACCATAAAAGACAGCCAAAAGCAATTCGATCTCACTTTCCTCCCCCCTACCTTCCTCCTTTTGCCTCATTTATTTTGTTCATTTCTCCCTCGTCGCCCTCCTTCAATCTCCATTTCCTCCTGCCCCCTAAGCCCTTCCTACCCAACCAACCCAACCCAACCAACAACACCCACATGCATAATTTGCTTTTCCGGTTAACATATAAACTTGAATATTCGTTGGATTTAGGTTGATCTGCCTTTGGGCATTTATGAATTATTTTATGTTTAACTTTTGCTTAAATGGCTTATAGATGATTAAAATTTTGTTTATTGTTGCCATTGATTGGCCTCAGAAAAAAAAAAAAAAACCTTTTATGAGTTTTAACAAAAAAAAAAAGAATATAAATATAAAAGAAGTTAATCATTTATCATTAAAATCATTAATAAATTTACAAAAAATAAATATTATATTTAATATGATATGTAATAAATAATTTATTTTTAATAATAATTCTATGCTATAATTTAAATTAAATAATATATATTGATGTAAAATAATTTTGTCATACAATTTTTTCTTTTTTGTAATCAGCGACGGATTGACGTTGTTTCCAAAAAGTTTGAAAGCGTGATTCTCGTCCAGTAATGCCTTTCTTTAGCATGGATCGAGTTTGAGGGAGAAAAAAAAAAGAATATTATGAATATAAAAATATCAATATGTTTTAATAGGTCATATAGATAATATAAAATATTGAGCTGTGATCTCAATTATTGTGTTATTTTATATGATTCTATATCTTGTAGGTTGAGATATGTTAATTGATCATCATTTTAATTTTTTATTCAACAGGGACAGCAAATAAAAAAATTTGACATTTAAGAAATGAAAATTTAGTTTATGTACAAATAAAATTAAAAAGCATAAATAATTATTTTTATACTTCAAGTAATGTTGATGATAAGAAGAAAATTATGTAATTAATATTTATTAATTTCTATTAAAATAAGAGTATGTTTCCTTCGTAGGAAAGAAAAAATAAATTGTAGAGAATACAAAAGAAATATTACAATTCTTTTCGTCTTAAAATAATTATTTTTATTGATTTTTTAATCAAATTAATTCTATTTTGACTTTATTTAAAAAATATTAAATTAAAATTTTTAAAAATATAAATTTAAAAAAATTTGAAACTCAAAGTTTACAAATTTTATTTTTTTAAATTTTATTATTTTATTACAATAATAGTCAAAATTAAGTTAATTTGACCACAACACTATAATTTTTTGTGATACAAAAGAAATAAGAAAAGGAGAAACCTAAAATACAATTACGAACCAGACATGAGATATCAAATTAAATGATATTATTTTATTATTTTCGTTACAAAATAGTTTCGTATTTATATATTATTCTTAAACAATATTAAAAATATAATATCATTTTTTTTTTATTTTCCAATTACAAATTTTCTTTTATAAAAAAGTACATGCGTTGTGATTCACAGCATTGACTTGCAAAATGGTAAAGAAAATGTCATTTTGACGTGAACATTTACCGACCGGCTTTTGTGTCGTTAAGTGGATCAAAGCTAAAAAAAAAAAAGTACATCGTTTGTTTGTGTTACTTATTTTTTGTAAAGTGAAATACAAAAACATTAAATAGAAAAGAAAAATATGTTAGGAAAAAAATAAAATTTTTAATATACGTAAAGCTTAAAAAAATAAAATAAAATAAAATTGTAATTACTTAATAGTATCTCAGTATATGACATTATAAAACCAATAACGTGTAATCTTTAAAGTAAATTTTTAATAAATTTTTGAAAATTTGAAATTTAATTTAAAGATTATGGTTAAATTAAAATGTAAATAACATATAAAATTTTGGATTTTATTAAAAATGCAAATAATTTTTTTAAGGTTATACATTTTTATTTTTTTGTAAGTATTTTTTATAAATTAAATCATGCAAATAAGAAAATTTTAATAAAATATTAAATGTTTATACCATCAAAATTCTATTTATACTAAAATAAAATTGATAATTGTAATTTCATATAATAAAAAAACATAAGTTTATTTTTTTTCCAAATAAAATTCAAAAGTTTATTTGACTTAAAAGTTATTTTATTTCTCTTGTAACAAAATTTAACAAAAATAATAGATTAGTAAAAAAATTTCAAAGAAAAAAATTAGAATGAATTTCGAGCTTACTTAAATATGACAATGAGTAAGGTCAGAATAAATTTTTATTTACTTTAAATTTGATCTGATCAAATAATTTTTTTATTTTTTATATTTAAATTTGACTTAATATAATATTATATAAAATCGTATTCGATTCAATTCGATTTAAATTTTATAAAAATATTATTTTTTTAAATATAAAATATTAATTTTAATGTAAACATAAAATTAAATAAATATTAAAATATATATCAATATAAAATAAAATAATTAATTAAAAAATAATTATATATATTAAATTAAATAAATTTATTTAAAATTTGACTCTAATTTTATTTTACAATTATTCAATCCAAAACTTAAGTTACAAAAAAAATCAACCTTGTCGAAACGCGTTGAACACGAATTGGACTGCCATTTCTCTGTTAACCACAAATGCTGTCCGTCACACCGCAGATCCAGCCCGGTCCTCTCTCTTTCTCCATTCTCTTTCACTCGAGACTTTTAACTTCTCTTCTCGTCCGCAAGTCAACGTTAGCTACAAAATTAATGCCTCAGCCTTGCACATAAAATAAGAATAAATAAATAAATGAATTTAAAAAAAGGGCGTTTTTCAGTTTGCCGGTTACCCACGGCCACTTAATTATTTTTGGCATTATAAACTCACAATTTTTCTTCTCCACATTCAGCCCTGAGATCCTTCCATTTATATTTATATATATTTGAAAGAAAGAATATATAACAAAGAAAGTCTCGCGAATCTGATTCCGACTCTTTTGATCAAATGGCTGAGAAGAGTTATATAGTAAAAGTAGAGGAAGGAAAGGCCGCCAGCGATGGAAAACCGTCGATCGGCCCTGTTTATCGCAGTTGCTTTGCGGAGAATGGATTCCCTGCTCCGGTTCCTGGAATGGAGAGTTGTTGGGACATTTTCTGGTTAAGTTTTAGCTTTTTCTCTTTTTTACGTTAAGCTTTTGCTTGGTTGCTTAAAAAAATACGGAAAATAGGAGAAGGTTTGACTTTTTTTTTGGTTTGATTTCAGTTGAGTTTGGAAATAATTGCTAACTTTTGAATTTCCTCTTTTGTTTATTATTATTATTTTAAGTTCAGTAGTAGATTTGTTTAGTTTGATTATGTACTTTCATTTCAGATTCAAGAAACAGTACTTTTAGGGATCATAAGATTTAATTATATTAAGATGGAAACGCCTAATATTTGAAAATTTTGAACTTGAACGTTCTGAAAGGAGCAAGGTACTGAGATTTCCATGCTTCTGGTTGAAAGATCGATGACTTTCATTCATCTCTCAGTCTAAAACTGTAAAATTAAAATTTAAATAC